GCAGGGGCGGGGCGTCCCCGGCTAGCATCACAGCACCTTTGCAAGAAGTCGCGGGGACTGTCAGCTGGTGGCCGGGGACGATCGCTGGACGCCGGCTTGAAGCCGCCCGTTCCGCCTCCGTCCCCGTTCTCTCCGTCTGGGTTCCCCTTGCTCGGCGGGCGGCCTTAGGGGTGCGCCGGTCAGGCAGAAGCGCCCCTCTCGCCAAAGAGCGGAGCCAGGAGGCCCGATCCGCCGGGCTCCCTGGGCGCGGGGGGCCAGTCTCAGCCCCGGTGGTGGTTGTGGGGACAGCGGGGGTGTGTGTGCGTGCGTGCCCTGGAGGAGAAAGGGGGCATCAGTCCCACCCAACCCGTGCACTAACACACGCATTCGAGGAAGTTCCCCAAACGCCGGGTAAACGCCATACCCCGCCTGTGCTTAGAACTGGCCTTGATCTGTTTTTAAGCATTTCTTCCCTTTGAATGGTTAAACTTGGTAACCCAAGGTGGGAGCCACCGACAGTGAACATCATAAAGGTCCTCTCCTTTTCGCTCTGGGCTCTGGGCTCTCCTTTTTATTCCTGTAGATCAGTTCTCCTCGGCGGATCAAGACCAAGCAACGTAGGTGGCAGACGCTCCTGGAGTTCAGGCTAGTCCCGGGGTCCCTCAGGTAGGCTGGGCTTCCACATGGGCACACGGCACAAACACATCGCGAATCGTGCCGGGATCGTAGCAATGTACAGTTTTGCAAACTTCACCTCCAACACGCTTTACCGTTCTTTGCAGTGTGTGTGTGTACATAAATGAAGAAAACACGTTTTGTTTCTTTTCCGCTTTTAGACTGCTGCATTTTCTTGGGATTTGGGCCATAAGAAGGCTGTGCTGAAATTAGGAAAGATTCTGACTGGAGGAGAAAATAGAAAATAACCCAGTTAATCAAGTAGATGAATTAGATGAGCTTTTCCCATCCTGGCACCAGATTCAGCTCTCTGGCCCTGCCATGCTGGGGAGAATTGTGAAAGATGTAGTCCAGCCTATGAAAGGAAGATACCTTCTCAATGGGGAAGACTGACATGAGGGAAGATTTAGGACTTTTTAAA